AAGTGAACCAGTAACCAGTTTAGTGAGGCCAAAACTGGTGTAATGTGCTCTCTTTTGCCTGTACTGGTTAAAAATCGGGCTGCTGCATTCTGGACCAGTTGTAGTCGTGCAATGGAGGTCTGACTGATACCAAACAGGAGCAAATTGTAGTAATCAAGCCTAGATGTAATGAATGCATGTATTACTGTCTCCAGGTTCTTTTTGGACAATATGGGCTTCAGTTTAGACAGCCGCCTCAGTTGGAAGAAGCATGATTTAACAATCATGTTTACATGATTGTTAAGTTTCAGGGAAGGGTCCATTATCACGCCCAGATTAGTGACTCTTTGTTTTTCTGACAGGGTTAGAGTGGAAAGGTTGATGCAGTAGTTTGTGATTGTGTCATTTGGAGGGAACAACATGACTTCAGACTTTTTTTCATTGAAACTTAAGAAATTTAAAGCCATCATGTCCTTGATGTCAGCCAGGCAGTTGAGCAGCGGTTGAATAGAGCATGTACCATTGTGTCTTAGTGGGAAGTAAATTTGACAGTCATCGGCATAGAAGTGGAAGGGCATGTTGTGTTTCCGGAAAACATCAAAGCGTCAGATCGGCACTATTTGTGTTTATAGAGAAATAAAAAACATCACCACTAGATTTTTTTTACTTGTGTTCAACACTACTCATCTAAATGATGTTTCTTATGAAGACTGAGGACAATAAGGTGTGGGGTTTTAAAGACATTTCAACTTTAATGCACCTGAACACACAACGTCTCTTACACCTGCAGCGTCTTACAGCGTCACAGTTACTGCTAAGCTAACGGATATGCTACAGACGTAGCGCTCCACTTCTCTCCTCCTAAAATGAATATATGTTTATGATCAACACCCCCCCAGTCAACAACTGCCACACCAAGCTTACTAAACTGGCGAGCAAGCAATACAGAGGTGTCTCCATCTCCTCCACCCGTGCACGTTTTCTGCCGAGGCAGGAGGAGACGTAGAGGAGAAACAGTGCAGGCAACAGGCTGCTGTGTTTAGAGTTGGAGGTAACAAGGAAAACCTGGAGTGGAGTTTTAGTGGTTTGAGTATTCTATTAATCAAGTGGAATGGATTCGTTCACGAAGAAAGAGAAACTGTGCTGACTGAACTAATGTTTCATAGTAAAAGTGTGTGTGTGCTTGTGTGTGTGTGTGTGTGTGTGTGTGGGTGTGGGTGGGTGGGGGGGTCCAAATGAACATTTTCTGAATGTGGGGGGAACATGTCCCCTTCACATATAATGGTTGCGACACCTATTCTACTGTGTATATTTTAAAATGACCCCTCTCAGTTTATACCACTGATGCTGAGTCATACTACTTCAGTCTCCTCAGTTTAGTTAAGAGCCAGTCAATTATGTCACCCCTGTTTGGCTTCTTGTTCAGAACAGGAACATTTTGTCCTCTTTTGTCTACATCATGTCAAATAATCCTTCTCCTTCCACCCTTCCCCCTCTCACTTCCCTTTCTTTCCATTTTTCCCTCCCTGTTTTTCAGGAGAATATCAACATTGACGAGGCAGCCAACTGCTTGGTGAAACACATCATTGCAAGCGAGAATGACATGCTTCAGTCAGAAGTTCCTGACACCATCACCCCCCAGTTAGAGAAGGACAGAGGCGGGACCTGCTCCTCCTGCTTCAGGTCCCAGTAACATAAACACCCGACAACCGGGTGTCCCTTTTGTATGTCACTTCACACAAAGTCGTGGGAGTAGGAGGCAGAAAAACACATCGGCTGTTTTAGAGAAGGTGAAGGTGCCAGCGTTTTTTTCTGTCTGGTATCCTGATATTGTGTGTGTGTGCCTGTGTGTTGGGATTGGTCGACAGGGAGGCAGCTGGCTCAGATTGAAACAGAGACAGAAATAGAGAAAGGGAGTTGAATGCAGCTGTGTGGGCTTCTCAAAGACAAGGTCACCCCCTTCAAGCCTTAACGCTGAAACATCAGTTACCATGGTGACACAGTTAACAAACAGATGCACAAACCACACTATATCTGCACTAAAGGTCTACGGAGATAATCACTACACACAAGCCATATCTCTTGCTGCCTCTCTACTTTGGCCTGTTAGCTTCCACTCTTTTTTTATTCTCTGTGCAAATTTCAACTAAGAACATTTAAATGTGTTATCTCAAGCATCCTGGTTTCATTCTTACTAGCCTTTTTGTTCACATCTGGTTTTATTTTATTTTTATTGTCCCAGAGTGGACACAAATAATGCTATGCATAGCAGATATAAGTATTTAATAATAAATGTGCCTTTTCTAACCCATTTCATTTAATGTCTTACATAGATAATCTTCACTGTGTATATCTGTGTGTGTATTATTTATAAGATGCATATTTTCTTTCATCACTATGATAACGTATTTAAAATTCTATAAGCAATCTGAATCTGTATTATGAATCCTCATCAAATTAAAGCAAGAACTGTGTCCGTTGCACTGTATTTGTTTTAACTCAGTGGTTTTATATAAGGTCTTGTTCCACTGTACAATAACTAAAACGTTTGTAATTGTAAGATGAATGCAGAAATGTAAAAACTTATGTACATATTATATACAGCAACTAAGTCACATTGTAGAACCAAAGATGTATTCAGTTTTCTAAATGTTCTTATGAATAAAAAATATTTACTGGCTGCCATTTTTCTGTTTGTTAATTGATTTCTCTGTTGCCTTAGAAATAAAAGATGAACAAACGCACACATTTGTCTTTAATAAGAGCTGACACACTGCAGCTAATAACTGTAGCACTAATATTTAGCCTTTTAAATAAACTTAAAGTACAGACACTTGGCAGATGCGAACACATGAAGCAATTTTTTTTTAATATGTGCTCTTTAAATGAACAAAAATGTGCTGTAGCTTTTATATAAAACATGCATGACTCTTTATGTAACATTTTTAAACTATGAATGGATTTTAGCTGATCTTATGTCAACAGTGACAGTCTCATACAAACAATGAGATTATCAGGAGCATTAAGAAGTTCTCAGTTCAGTTTGTTATTTGAGAGTGATGATAAAGTTGCTCCAAGATACAGGATTTATTTTATTTATTTATTTTCAACAAATCCAAAGTGGTCCTGCAGGAGGTATATCGCCTCAGGAATCAAGACAACTCTGATTCTGCTCCTCCCAGACTTGTATTTAATCAAAACACTTACTGTAATGTTATTCTCAAGAGACAGGGCAGTAAATTCAGTTTGGAGGCCATAACCCGTTTAAATTGTGTATTATATATTTTTAGACTGTAGGTTTATCCACAGCTTCATTTACATTCACAATTTCTTTCCACTTTAGGAATACAGGCCCTCCAGTAGCCCTCACTCAGCTCTAATAGACTGATCCACTCCTGTCAGATTGAGTTAATGAGACTTAAAAACATTCATTCATTCACAAAAACACATAACATGAAGGATCAAGCTTTTAGACAATGCACAATACCCTTTGATTTTCATGGCAGTTTAAACTAAGTTAATGTAAATTGGGGGAAAATGTTTTAGCCTTTTGTTGTTCAAATATTACTTTGTAAAAATAACATTAAACATGATCACATCACTGTCCTCGTTGGTCAGTTGGTCATTGTGATCTACATGTAGGCACGCCGTCAGTGCAGTTACAACATGCGCTCTCAGAACATCATTACCTGCAGCGTTCCCTCAGTGCGAACTGAACTTGGCAAAAAGGTATTTTCCTACTCTGCTCCTTCAACCTGGAACATCTTGCAACAGGAACTGAAGTTGTCCTCCTTGGTTTCTTTAAGGGGTTTCAAACATTTGATAATGTCAATAGAAAAATCAAAGCAAACGTTCATGTTTTTAGTATATCACCGTTTTACGTCACCCTGATATATTGTTTTATACACTACTCTTATTTTAATTGCATTTTTACTGTAGTTCATTGTTGTCATTGTTTAATGTTGTTGTTTGTACTTTATATGTTCTGTGTGGAACAGGTCTCTCATGTAAATGAGTCCTCGTGGCTCAGTGACACTAGCCTGTATGAATAAAGGTTGAATGAATGAAATAACATGCTAAATTGCATGATTTGTTAGCTGTCAAGATATGTGTTAGGTATGACTCTCAGCTGTGAACAAACCCAATTGTGGCTTGATATTTGTAAAATTAACTGGGTTGTGGCCTTTTTTATTCTTGCTAAGTTAAAACGTGGCAGCCAACTTGACTCCGGGTGACTCAGAAATGTAATTACTTATAGATATATATCCAATAGACACCTCCTGAGAGTTTCATTAAAATCTGTCCACTGGGCCATGATATATTGCTAACAGACGGATAAACAATAATCATACTCAATTACATTATCCTTTATGTGGTGGGTGATGAAAATAAATTCATTTAAAAACTGTTGGTTTACATCTTTACATATTTGATTCATTCAACCTTTATTTAAACAGGTTAGTCCCATGGAGCAACGAGGACTGATTTACAAGAGAGACCTGGAACCTGGATTAACCAAATAAGGTCTTACTTCAGCATAACCAACTGCGTTTTCACGTTTGCGGTTGAGGATTTCTAGTGTTTTGGTTGTTTTTTGACAGAGTTCCACCTGCAGTTTTTAGACAACCTGTCAACTCAACGTAAAACACTGAAGAAATCATTCCTGCTTTCATGCTGGCTGGAAACAAGGTCCCACTGATTTGCACACACTTTAAAGAACATGACAAAATATGAAGTTTGCAAGCTACGAGAAAAGACGGGTACAAGCTAGATGCAGAAGAGTCTTTGTGTGTTTTTCTCCTGGTGTGAAGATGACAGTTTATAGCTGTGGGAGCACAAAATCCCATTTTGTTACCCTTTTATCAACACTTGTTGAAGCGCAGCAGAAATGGTCTCAGTTTATTTGAAGATATCACATTTCCCCTTTTAACATGCAAGAGATGACAATTGACTGCTGTATTCATTTTTCCTGACAACTGCTTTGCACATTTGACCCAAAACATCAGGGCTTTGAGAGTTAATTAATGACAAACATTAATGCAGCTCCAATAATTTAGCCTCAGTAATTTATTTTATGAAAATGAAGGAGAGTCTGAGGAAATGCTACGTACTTCCTGTTTTGTTCAATTCACCAGCGCAGTCATTATTTTAAAAACCAATAAAACAGAGTGTTACCCTCTCAGACTTGCTCAAGGCCACACTGGTATGTGAACTGGTGAGTCTGGACATTTAACGACTACTCTTCTCTCCTGACTGAACCGAATCTTCCACAACAAGAAAAAGTAAGATTTTTTTTTTTAGTTCAAGCCTCCCATTTGTTTGAACCAACTCATCACCATAATGTTATCAATGCTGCACATTGGTTGGATGGGTGGTTGGTTGGATGATTGGTTGTTTGGATGGTTGGTGGGTTAGTTGGTAGAATGGCTGGATGGTAGGTTGGTTGAATAGTTGGTTGGTTGGTTGGATATTTTATTTATGTATTTATTTATTTATTTGTACACACTAAATTTGTACTATTCTGCAAAAAACACAAACCTCTGTCATCAGAATTTTAGGACAGAAGGGAAGGAAAAGGAACAGAAACACAAATACTCCATATGTTGCTGGAGAAGCTGAGAAACTGAAGGATTTCTCTCCAAACACGACATCTCTGTGCATTTCAGGCCTAACAGGTCCCTCAGAGACTGGTCCATCCAGAGGACGAACTTTGAGTGGTGCTGTGTCTGCAGTTCAGAGCAGCGAGGAAGATTCACACCACTATAATGAAGAAATTAAACAACCTCTCGACAGACGCAGGGCTCAACAACACAGGAGAACCAGCTCTTCAGGACAAGACTCAGTGGTCCACCTACATCTCAAGGATAAGAGAGCCTCTTTTGAGGACCAAAATGTTCATACTTTAGACAGACGAGATAGATGTTTTGATGCGAAGGAAGCCTTTTACATTAAATGACAACAAAAAAAACTTTGAACTGAGAAGGAGCTCTCAGATTTCTAATACTTACTATGCATTTTAAGTAATTTCCAGTCAGTTTTCCTCAAACTCACACCTTTGTGCATGACCAAAGCATTTCTCCAAGACCTTTACACTAACAAATTTAAGTCAGGTCCTCTGGATGGATTCTTCTTTGTTGAAACATTTTGTCTATTATCCAAAAGACTTATTTGTCTGAGGAGCTGCACTGAGACTGAGTTTGCTTGCAGCTCCTCAGAAGGACTCCTCTGTCCGTATGCTATTTGAGGACTTCACATCTGCCTTCAAACCCATGATCCCCCAAATCCTGATAGACAAACTATTCACACTAGGACTAAGCCCCTCCATTTGCAACTGGGTCCTAGACTTCTTAACAAACAGACCACAGTTTTTTCTTTTGTATAGTAATTTTGTTTGGAATATATTTTGGGGGGCAGCATGGTGGCGCAACTGGCAGAGCTGCTGCCTCTCAGCGAGTAGGTCCTTGGTTCAAACCCCGGTCCAGGGGCCTTTCTGGGTGGAGTTTGCATGTTCTCTCCGTGCAGGCGTGGGTTTTTTCCGGGTACTCCGGTTTCCTCCCACAGACCAAAAACATGCATGTTAGGTTGATTGGTAACTCTAAATTGTCCCTAGGTGTGAGTGAGAGAGTGAATGTTTGTTTGTCTCATTTGTCTCTATGTGTCCCTGTGAAGGACTTGCGACCCGTCCAGGGTGTCCCCCGCCCCTCGCACAGTGATTGCTGGACATGGGCACCAGCGACCCCCGTGACCCAAAATGGAATAAGCGGGTAAAGAAAATGGATGGATATATTTTGGGGACAAGGGGCAGATATTATAAGAATTCATTCTTCTTCTGCTGCCTTTCATTTTATTTCTGTGATTGTATATCTTTTTTCTTTTCTTTAAATTGTATTATATTTGTTGTTTGGATGAAATG